ACAGTTAAGACTCACGTCCAACTTTTAGATCTGACCATTTCTAAGCCTCTTAATCCATAAAGTCGATGACTTTAAGCCTTTGCATGGCTGAACAAGTCACTAACACCCAAAATATACCATTTCCTAACACTAGAAAGCCCAATACTCAAGCATGATCTCATATCCACGACCAAGATGGGAACTTTATGGATCTATAACACAATACCACTGAAATGGGACAGATCTAGGTCCATGGAGCTCATTACACTCATAAGGTCTCCACCTTTGGGACTTTTAACCCTAAAATGGTCCATGAAGCAACAAACCAAATTAAAAGGAAAGTTTTGAACTTTATACCTCCAAATGCAGCTCCTTCCTCTGTAGATCTCAGATCCAAACTTGCACTTCAAGCTCTAGTCTCTCCTCTCCTTTTCTTCACTAGCACACCAAGGCTGAGAAATGAAAGTTCTCTCTTAGGGTTTTACTCACTGCTATGGAGGCTGAGAAATAAGCCTTAGCATCCAATATATAGGGCACAAGTTAGAAATTAGGGTTTGCACCTGGACACATTACGCCCAGCGTAACCCTGAGTACGCCCAGCGTACTCAGGCGAGTCCGCGTCCAAAATAAGCGCATGAGTACGCGCAGCGTACTCTTGAGTACGCCCAACGTACTCATTTGCTACCAATTCCTCTTAAGGGCTTAACTTGACACTTTGAATAAAAGAAGGGCTAAATAGTTGTACCTGAATTTCGGGATGTTACATAATCAATATGGATCATTAGCCCAAACTATATATATCACTGATTTACACAATCAGTCCCCGTTAATTTAATTAGTCTCTTTTGATCACTAAATTAATTCCAAATTAATTCTTGATCAATACTAATTAATAATATGATTTCTCATTAATATATTATATTTATAATATATTAATAAAGCACATTAACCTCTTTCTCAAATATCCATCCTATCAAATTGTTCCAGAGTGTTACAACCCAAATGGACCATGCTTGTATCGGGTCAAGTACATACCAATTATAGTTATGGACTTAGACACCTAATCCAACAGTTCCATGTCTCTCAGCTGCGGAAGTTCCTAGCCAATGGGTCCGTAGTGGTACTAGTGGATGATATTCAGGTGAATGAGCGCCTGAACTATGTGGAGAGACCTTTGGAAATTCTTGACAAGAAGACCAAGACCTCGTGCGATAATGTAGTGGAGTTGATTAAGGTGTAATGGCAACACCGGAAGGGTTACAAATGGACATGGAAACCTGAGAAGGAGATGAGGGAGCACTACCCCAAGTTATTTACATCATCGAACTTCGAGGACGAAGCATGATTCAATTAGGGAAGAGTTGTAACACCCGTTCCAGGTTTGAGTTAATTTATTAATGTTAAACTTTCATTTTTGGGTGGCCACGACGTGGTGGAGCTTCACCACGACGTGGTAGTATTTTTATGATCGTGGGAATTAAATGACCCGCCACGGGGCGTGGCAACTATTTTTGGAGTAAACCCAAATCCTTGGGTTGTGGGCCTTATTTAAAGGACCTTATGGCTAGGGTTTCAGGATCATTAAGCATCCATTACCCTCTCAAGATCAAAAACCCTAACCCTAGCCTCCCTTGTTGAGTGTTGAGCTCTTTGTGGTATTTTGTTTCATTTTGAAGGAAGAAGAAGAAGGTGTTAGCCCAAAGATCAAGCAACAACTCATCTCCATCTTTGGAATCACTCTCTAGACCATTTGTAAGTCCTCAAGTTTCTATCTTGATGATTCTTTGGTTGTAGATCTAGTTTCTTATCATATTTTGGTCAATAAGAAATGTTTGGTTGGTTTGAAGTAATAAAGGTTGCAACTTTATGACTCTCTTGAGTCCCATAAACAATATATCTTATGGATATAGACTTTGGTTGGGGTTCTTGACCTTGCATGACCTTTTGGTCACTTTCAGCTCATTTTGACCTAAAATGGATGTTAGACATGCATTAGATATGCATGTCTATATAGCACCCACCTTTATGCTAGATTTGGTATTGGAAACTCTTTTGGAGTGGTTGGGTTAAGGACTTTTCAGATTAAGGGATTAATGGTTAAGTCCTTGTTGTATTTTGCCTTATTTGGACCTAGGGTTTGGGATCATGATATATTTAGGTGTCTTAATGGATAAAGTTGGAAACTTTATCCATTTAGACAATAGAATGGACCAGAACTGAGCTTTAGAGCTCTTAGAATCGAAAAAAATGGCTTAACCTATTAAGTTGTTAGAAACCCAGTGCCGACGGCGTGACCTTAGGTCGCTACGACATGACGACTAGGAAATGGCCGTTTGTATTGTTGTATGAGGCCACGGCGTGGTCATAGATGCCCACGATGTGGTAGTTGACTAAAGTCAACGTTGATCGTTGACTTTTTGACTTGAGTTGACTTTTGGTCAAACTACTAGTTTTGGAAGAAGAGTTAAGGGCTTACCTTGTGTAACGGTATATGTGGTGCATAACATCGGTATTTCTGGCAGTGAGAGCAGTCGCAGCTGAGTATTGACTGAGAGGTGAGTCTCTTCACTGTACTCGTGGGTCGAATGCACCAATGCCGAACCACTAAATTATGTTTGTAGGATGATATATGTCTCTGTGACACTTGTTGATATGCCTGCATGTGCTTGTTGTCTTTGTGACTCTTGCTGATATGACTGTATGTTGATTGTATGTAGGGTGAAATAGATCCGGGGGTGAAATAGACCCGTTCGGTTGAAAAATATCGATTGAGTTGAAATAGACTCGGGGATTAAATAGGCCCAGGGTGAAATAGACCCGTTCGTTTGAAAAATACCGATTAAATTGAAATAGACTCGGGGGTGAAATAGGCTCGGGGTGAAATAGACCCGGTACAACTTCGTATTGATATGCATGTATGGTATGAGGTATTTTAGGGAACTCACTAAGCATTGTGTTTACGGTTTTATGTTTATGGTTTCAGTTACTTCCGGTTCTAAGGACAAGGGCTCGACATGATTGTACTGCATCCACCAGTATTCCGCATGATTTGATTGATTTTGTACTCTTGATGATTGTATGGCACATTTTATGTTACGATGGGTTTTCCAACTGAATGAATGGTTGTTTTGATCGATTTAAAAGAAATTTTTTACTTTCAATTTTTGGGATGTTACAGAATTTCACAATATACTTCAAAATATATTTCAAAAAAAGTGTTGGTAAATAAACTTGTATTGATGGTACATGTCTATGTGGATTTGTGGACCCCCCCCCACCACACACACACATATGTCACATCATTAATGGTTCATTTAAGGTTTTTATTAAAAAAAATCACATCTTAAAAGTATACATATATTTTTTGGGAAAATGACTTACAAATGTAACAAAGTATAAAAAAAGAACAAAACAATACCAATGAACTTTTCTTTGTATACTTATTACTTGCAAACTATAGGCTTTCTACATGTATGACCATTCAAGTTGATCTTTTGCTCAAAAAATATCATTGGTGTTACTGACACAACATGTTACCAGCCACGTGGCATGACCCGTGACATCCCACGTGACAACTAACATAGATTTTAGTGTTGATGATGTATATATTCTATCATTAAATGTTTTTTGTACACATTTTATCATTAAACTTTTCTGTACACACTTTAACATTAATCTTACATAATTTATTCAAAAATACATATATTTTAATGTAATATGTATTTTTACTTATTGATAAAGTGTTTCTTATGACAATTATTTTGTCTGAATACCAATTGTTGGTCAAAAAGTTTTACCTTACTGATCCAAATAACCTATCTCATTGGTCTAGTATATGAGAAAGCCACATACATTTTTTTTAATATCACAATCTATGGGGCCAAAATTTCAATCATTGCTAACAAAACTCTTTTCAAAAAATATTCCTACCGAGGCTTTACCATATCTTGGATAACTGATACCTAAACAACATGTTTCTCCCTAATGTTGTATGAAATATTGATAAAAAAGTTATATTTGTTCTTTATACTAAGGCTTAGGGTTTTCCAAATACATGTTTGTATACAAAATGCTCATTAGACTCTACTATTTATCCAAGAACACATTTAATTTCTTTGAGGATTTTAATCAAATACTTGGTGTGTGACATAAAAATCCACCTCTATATAAGATTGATTCGTAAACAGATTCCACATACCGAAACAAATCGAAAACATAGAAATTCACAATGAGCAAGCAAAAAATTGGCATTGCCTTTAATTACAAGAACTGAATTTTGATGAAGCCATGGAGTCACACACTTGGAGCCACACACTATATTTCATCGACTCTATAATTTTCTTGATCAAGAATCACTTGTGAAATGACAATCATTATCACTGAGTTGCTTCGTTTTGCCCACTTGAGAAAACCAGCCAAAAACCTCATCTTTGAATCACTATTTGAATTCATCATCAAACGTTATGATACCAATTTGTTTGATTTGTAGAACTGGTATTCAATAAAAAAATGTCATCTAATATACTAGACTAATGAGGTAAGTTATATGGATCGATAAGATAAAACCTTTTGACCAATAACTAGTATTCAGATAAAAAAATTATCATCAAAAAACACTTTATCTATAAATAAAAATACGAATTAATATTATAATATACATATTTTTTGAACAAATTATATAGGATTAACTATAAAATATGTACAAAAAAGTTTAATGATAAAATGTATACAAAAAAAAAAGTTTAATGTTAAAATGTATACACCATCAACACCAAAATTTATGTCAGCTGTCACGTAGGATGACACATATCATGCCATGTGGCTAGCAACATGTTATGCCGGCAACATCAATGATATTTTTTGAACAAAATGTAAACTTTAATTGTCATAAGTGTACAAAGACAATAGTTTGCCACTAATACTTGTAGAAAGAAAAGTTCAATGGTATTTTTTTTGTACATTTATGATACTTTGTTACCCTTGTAAGTCATTCTTCCAATAATTAAAGCTTTTAAAATTAGTTTAATCATATATGGTATCATATATCTCATGCCTTCAATATTGTACACCTTTCTATTCATGTTACTATTTATAAAACATAAACTAAATATCAAAACTTTGATTCAAGCAAATCGTTTCCTCCAAGTGTCTTAACAACAGTTTTCAGAAGTTTAATCTCTTTGTCCCTCTTTGAAATTTCTTCTTGTTTTGTTCTTAATTCTTCCATGTGCAATTCAAACACCTCTATAATGAAGAAGAATACAATGTTAGTATAAAAATAAGAAATTCTTCCAACAAACTCTAAGATAATCCACATTGTTCCACCAACATTAAGATGTAAATAAAAAAGTTATAGAGTGTGCATACTTGTGGTGTTTTCAAGCTCTTTTATCATCTCTTTTGCTTGTAATTCAGCAGCCTTTTGTCCTGCTTCAGCTTCTCTTTTTTCTATACGAGCATGAGCTGAAGCTGAAATGGCAGCATCTACCTCTCGTTCTAATGTCTCTACTCTTTGCTCAAGAATCTGCATCCGAAAAAAAGTCATATGAAAAAGAGGATTTTTTTTTCTCACAATGTTTTTGAAATGAAATACAAAAAGAACCCAGATAAAACAGCATCTGATAATTTTTGTCCTACTAGTTGATCTCCAATGAAATGAAAGTAGAATGACGATGTAGAAATTGAAACTCTTAACTGTTGAATTTCAATCATACATAATCAAACATTGATAAGAAGCCTTGCTGGATTTGTTATTAAGTCGAATTTTAGCGATTTGATACATTAATGACCTCCATTGAAACTCAAACAGTTCAACTGCAAGGTCCAATTTCAAACATACAACACCAATCAAATCAGCCACAGAAACTGATATAGAAAATCATACGAGTTTTCTCTGATTTGAACAGATTATAAGAAATCGAATGATTGAAACTCAAACAATTCAATTGCAATAAGACATCATCAACATGTGGATTACCATTTATCAATCAAATCATATATCGGCAGAGAAATGTGGTTGAATCGGTTAATTTGACAAGCCAAGTTGTAAAAATTGTTGAAATCAGGTAATAAGAAACGGAAACGGAACCTTGATTGTACGGGCTTGTTCGGAGGTTAAGGAGGCTCTGTTGTAAGTATTGGGATCGACGTAGACAGCGCTCTTGAGGAGTAGCGTTTCAATGGAGGTGAGATTGTGAGATAAGTCGGTGAGATTGGCGATGGCGGAATTCCATCTCTGGTTTCCTTTGCCTTTCTCTGTGTCCTCCATTGTTGCTCCTCAACAATGAATGAAAACAACTGCCGGCTTCTCGTCTTGTTAACGGGTTAATATTTTATCAACAGAAAATAGTAAAGAAACTACCAAAAAAAATCATAAAAGAAATATATCGCTATATTTATAATACTTTTTTTTTTTTTTTTTTTTTTTTTTACAAGTTGACGTTGTTGAAGAAGTATTTGTTCATTTCTAGAGGCTAGATTTTTGAAGCAAGTGTTATATTTTTATGGAATATATAGAAAATATGATGTAACATATACACATTCATTTTGATAAATAAGATGTTTTCACGATCTTCTAATTACTGAATAAATGAATATAGTTTGCTATAAAATAGTATATTTTATAAAAATACGGTGTAATATGTTATATAAAGCTTTTAAGGCTTATAAACTTCCATCAAATGAAAATTAACAAAATAAAAGGAATTACATTCCTTCGTGAATGGTAAATACGTTTTTTAATTCCTACACAACAAACACCATTTCATTCCTTTTCTAATTCCATGAAACCTACTACACGTAATTTTTCCACTAAATAGACATTTTTAAATTCATTTTCTTATTTGTATATATATAATGAGTTTTATGCGGAAAAATCTCATTATTTTAAGAAAATTTTTGATAAAGTCCTAAAAGTCTTTTTTTAAAACAGAAAAATTTCATTATTTTAAAAAAAAATCACATAATCTGCTATTTTCTGTTAAAATATAAAAAAAAATTTCATTAATTTGCGCAAAATGTTAAATAATCGAGACTTTTCTGTTTAAAAAAAAAAACTTTTACGACTTTATTAAAAAATTTTCCAAAATAATGAGCCTTTATTGTATAAAACCCTATATATAACAGACAAAAACGCACACATCCCATTTGATATTACAACAAAAGGCAGTTCTTTTTAGTTTTTACCAAATATAAACAAAAAATGAAAATCTTAACACAAACTAACAAATGATAGAATCTACAACATTCTTCAATTAAACTAGAAAGGTTACCCCCGCTACGCGGGGGTCAGAAGCTTTCAATGTTGTTTCCGAATTGATAAATATGACAGATATAGAAAGTGCAAGGATGAAAAGTCCGGGTTTTGCCCCGGACAAAAAATATAAAAGTTTTGACTGCAAGGACCAGAAGTGTGAACATGACTAAAGAATTAAAGGGATAGGAATTAGCAACTTTTTAGAAAAAGGGATCAAAGTTGTCAAACCGTTAAAGTTTTGTGGCCAAACTTTAAATATTAAAAGGTTCCAAAAAAGTGTAAAAATATTGATTGCAAGGACCAAAAGTGTCAAAATGGGTAAAGAATAATGAGCAAAGTTGCCAAAAAACATCCAAATTTAGTATTCCTAACTTCCAACAATAATACAGGGACCAATTCTGCCAAAAAAATGGGAAGTTGAATGGAACACAAACAAAAGGACATGAATAAATTAATTAAAGAAGTAAAGGGACCGGATATGTAAATCAAGAGACCAAACCTGAACAAAATATACCAACTTCACTATTCCTTTCTTCTACAACTTTAATATATATATAATAATAACATCATCAACAACTACAAATGTAGACAAATAGTTGTAAAGAAATGAAATTCTACATCTACACAACATAAAACTTACACCAAATATTCCATTTTGAGATTAAATCACCAATAAATGCCAAGAGATCTTAACAGTATTTATAACAAGATATTTTTTAAAAGTTTATAAAAAGACTAAAAAAAGTTTGCTTCTTACAACACCCTTTTGCATTTCTAAGATGGCTATCCTTCTGTAAACAATAGAAAAGGAGAAAAAGGTCAAAATTTTGCAGATTGCAATATGAAAGTCGATTTCTTTAATTACAGTGAAAAAGATTTTTTAATTTTTACCTTTAAGGGTAGAGGAAAATCCACAAGTTGTCAAATGCTTTGCAAGATCTTCCCCAATTACTTTCTTCCAATTTGGTGTAGCTGTAGCTTCAGATACAGGCAATACAATTGCTGTCGCTGTTTCAAGATTCACATTCGCAGAAGCCACTTGTGCCTATTCATGTATACAACTTTTTAAATCAAACGATTTTGTTTTCTTTTTCAGGAAAATGTCAAGAAGATTAAAACAGGAATGAATGAATGAAGAAGTAGATACTTGATTCTCCAAAATTCTTTGTACACTTGATGAACATCCTCCACAAGTCATCCCCTATCAAAGATGAAGCTCATAAGCTAGACAAATTGATCATTACAATTTACACCTGATTCTCCATTCTATTTTGGGTCAATCTTCTACGAAATTGGTGAAATTGGTTATGCGTTTAATCAATATTGTTTGCGATTTCTAACTTTTGTATAGATTAATGAGAAAATGTGTGTTTCCGTAGATCATTATCCTCGTTTTATCGATGAATTGTCAAAAACGGGAGTATACAAAAGTGATTTGGGAGAAAATTACTTACGCTAACATCAAGAACTATCACATCGGGCGATAAGGGCGAAACATCATCAGCAGCAGCAGCAGCGATGAGATTCGACTTGACCTTCCGACCATTAGCAGAAGGAGAAGCAAAGGAAGCAGCGGAAGAGACCGCAGCTCCAGCATTCCTCAAGCCAAACTTGACTGATGATCGCCGAAACGCAGCGCTCGGGTTGGGGTTGATTCGTCGAGGGTGGAGGAGAATTAATTGATTTCGGAAGGTTTGGCCGGAGCAATCGAGGGTATTGGAGATGGCTGCAGACAAGGTCACCTCCATTTTTGGCAGGGGGAGGGTAGTGGTTTGAGAGATCTATCTATCCACTGCTTATAAATCTATTTTATGATTTTATCGATGGAAAATATTACTGTGAATTTAGCCGATTTTTTAAAAGTATTTTTAAATTTTCGACAATAACGAAGTAAAGGTTGTTTAGTTTAGGTCGTTTTTCTCATTTGATTTTTTATTTTGTATTAATTTAGTCATTTAAAGCATAAGTTTTAAAATATCACCGAATTTTTTGACTTTAATCGTCTAACTCTTAGGTCCCGTTTGATAGTTGCTGACTGAGAAAATGCTGACTGGGAAAGTTCTGTCTGGGAAAGAAATCCTGACTGAGTAAGAAATCATGTTGTTTGATTGTCCATCTGACTGAATGTGCTGAGTGATGAAAAATGACCATTTTACCCTGCTGTTATATATAGTGATGGATTAATTAAGTTGCTGAATAATTATAAAACATACATATTGTCATAAAAAATGTAAATTACACAAAAATAAAAAATGTCATACAAAATGTAAATTAAACATAAATCATTTAATATCCAAATAAAAACATAATGAAATTTAAAATAACATAATAATTTAATGTAAAGTAGGTGAAAGTAGTCGATTTGCAATCTGATCACGCAAAACACGCATATACTCAACGGCTTCTGGACCCCATTCTATGCCTTGTATGTTTTCTCTATCAATTCCCCCACCTTGGACGTCAGGAGTAACCATAGTGTCCTCCTCAAAATTTCTAAACAAGTCATCTTCTATATTGTATTTCCTTATAAAAATTATGGACTGCGACACAAGCAATGACTATGTCTCTTTGCACTGTAAAAGGATAAGGAGCCATTTGTTTTAAGATTGAGAATCTCGCCTTCAATACACCATAAGCACGCTCAATAACATTTCTAAGTTGTGCATGAGCATGATTGAACCTTTCTTCTCTAGTTAAAGGTCTGCCTCTTCGAAAATCGGCTAACCAATACCTAGTATTGCGGTATGGAGCCATAAACCCACGAGTGTTTGTATATGCGGCATCACAAAGGTAATATTTATCTGCAAATGAATGTGACACATATTATATAAAGAAGATAGATAATAAAATTTATATAAAGATTACAAACCCGGTGGAGGAAATGGAAATCCAGAAGTCGAATTGAATGCAACTTCTTTCAAAACTCTTGAATCATGTGCTATACCCTCCCATCCAGCCCAAACAAAGGTGAATATCATATCAAAATCACAAATTCCTATAACATTTTGAAAACATTCTCCTTTTCCTCGTCCCCTATAACGAGTTTGTTGATCAACGGGTACAACCGCATGTACAAGAGTTCCATCTAATGCACCTATTGCTCCGGAAAAAATATTTTTTAACCGTCTATGTCGTTCCGAGTTATGTCTTGTTGGATTAGGAGTTGTTGGTACTATAATTTCTTTTGCAAAACACATCATTGCAGTTAGGACCTCGTGAAAACATTGATGAATCGTTTGTGTGGAGTGATGAAATCTTCCCTTAACCGCGCGAAAACGTTCATTATGTCCTATAACATGTAAGAATATAGCCATCTTCTCTTCAATGCTTATTGTTTTACTAGCTTGCAACCAATTTTTTTTTGGGTAAAATGGTTACATAATAATGCAAATGCCTCTTGTGTAAGACGCATCATATCGTAACATTGTGTAGGGTCTCCGTACATCAAATCTTGCGTATACGCATACCCGCTTGTACCGTTATCTCTAATTCTATGAGTTCTGATTAGTCTACGTTGGTTTGACCTCAACCAATAAAACACAAGTAAAAGAAAAGCTACAACTTCACCATCAGTAACCATACTTGACCTGTTGCAAAGAATTAGGTAACATGTTAAAGTAAAAAAAATCATGCACCAAAAAAATTAGTAAACGTCATATTCAATAACAAACGTCATATTCAATATTCAATAAAATCCAAAAGTAACATCCAAAAAAGTAACATTCAATAACAAACGTCATCCAAAGTAACATCCAAAAAAGTATCAAACATAGGATCCAAAAGTCATGCAAACTTTCTACCCGCACCCATCAAAGGTAACCATATTTCCTACCCGCACCCATCACCCACGACTCACAACTAGTATGTGAAAGTCGTAACCAAACTTTTCTAACATCAGCACTTTCACCAAATAGCAAAAGAGCGGTCTTGTGTCTTTCATCTTCTTCTCCTCATTCCATTTTGTTCAATTTCTCCATACACGCATCAACATCCTTATCCATTTCACTTTTTTCAATTCTTTCATTTTTTTCCACTAACGACTTTGCAAGCTTTACAATCTCCTCTTCAACTTCTAATGCCCTTGCATCTCTTTTTTTCCCACCAACTTTTTTGTTTCCACCAACTTCCGTATTTTTTGAACGCCCCGAAGATTCTTCACTTGCACCTATGTGTTGTGTTGAGGTTTCCATTGGAACATCATCATCAAAATCATGGGCACTAAACTCTTCTACAGGACGAGGGAGTGTAGAAGATGGCCCCCAACTTTGAAAGCCGGTTGAGGTCGACCCTTCAAATAGTTGGGTGCAAAGTTCAGGAAACAGCAGAGGTTTAGTTTTCAATGACAACACGAACTTGTTCAACTGTTACAATTTTTATAAATATTAGTATTTTTTATAAAAATAATTATAATAGTATTTGTTATAAAAATATTACCTTCCCCTCTTCCTTCTATTGTTCATCAGTCAGGTTAAATTTATTTTTTATAGGGTCATATATATTGCCGGTTTTGTTTTTCAGTTTCACCCAAGCAACATACTTTGATTTGTAGTAGTCAAAGTGGTTTCTCATTTGCTTCTGATCAACCTCTTTACCGTGTTCGTTCATCAATTTTTCGCGTACTATCTTCCATGAACTAGCCTTAAGCCCAGAACCCTCACGACCATTAGTGGTTAGTTCATGGATACATGCATCAAGAAAAGTTTTGTCCTCACTTTCATTCCAAACCAACATCCTAAAACAAAAAAAAAAAATATGACTTTTGATTTCATAGCTTATACACAACCAAGTTTCAGATTTCATAAAATGTACCCACTCGAATTCTTCAAACAAGTCACAATATTGTTATTAATTTAAGAAAAGTTCATTTTTTAGTCATCACATTCCTAGACCCAAATAATACCATATCCAATTTCATGAATTGTTGGTGTATTTGATTCCAGTTTATCATTTGGAATTATATCACATAATTTTGAGGACCAATGAATATCAAAATATATTTTGGAAACAATTCGCAGATCAGATATCACAAATCAGACACAAGTTTTAGGGACTTCACAAAAATTTGAAGTAGCAGATTTGAGACGCGAAAGTAATCTTTAGCATTGCAAAAATTTGGCAGAAAAAAATATAAACAATCCACAAAAAATTGCCATTGCAGATTTCAGATGGCAGATTCCTCTAGCATATAGAAGATTTGATAAAAAAATCATTCACAACTACAGGTTAACCAGAAATCTTTGCAATTTGGCAGAAATTCGTGTCAGCAGATGGCAATAGACAGAGAATATGATAATCAGAAAAGGAAATTTTTGGTGTTGAAACCATCCGAATAAGCAGAAAATCGAAATAACCAGTATAGACATGGAAATATCGAGAATTATAAACATAGACAGAAAAGATCATAACCAGAAAAAGCAAATTCGTTACCTGATCGGAGAGCTGGCGGCGGTGGAGATCGGAGATCGGAGAGCTGAGTCGACAAGGATGATGGTGGTAGAGATCGAAGAGCTGCGCACTGTGGCTAGAGAGAAGAAGATGGGAGATGGAGAAGAAATTGTGATTGGAGGCGTCTTCTGTGAATCGTATCCGAACGGAGATGACAGCGATAAGGAGGGAGATGGCAGCGACAGGAGCTGTTCGATGGAGGCGATGGAGGAGGCGTGATTTTGGACGCGGTATCTTTTAGGTCACCAGAAAATTTTGAGAGGGTAGGATGGTATTTTGGCGAGTCAGCAGCATCTTTAGAGCTGAGCGAGACATCTATTTGGGCCAGACAAGCTGACCGAGACAGCTCCTATCAAACACGAAACATCTGAGCGAGACATCTAATTGATTTAATTAAATAATCGAACTTTATTTCCATCTATTTATGTATCAAATTATTTGATTCCTAATTACAATGTTTATGTTTAACTTTGAGGCCAACATTGTTGGCCTCAAAGTTAAACATAAACATTGTAATTAGGAATCAAATAATTTGATACATAAATAGATGGAAATAAAGTTCGATTATTTTAATTAAATCAATTAAAAATGTACCATAAATATTTTCTCAAAAAATTGACGATATTGTATTAGATAATGTTTTATAAAATTTGGCACAAAAAATATAAGAATATATTATGATTGTTTTTTCATATTTATATAAACAACTTCAACGACCATTATTGTAATAAATCTTTTGTAACATACACGTTCAGTTATCGTGTTATGTAATTTTAAAATTTAATAATATAATGAAATATTATATGAACTTGAGCGTTGAGTTCTAACAGATAGTTTTTACTAGAATTGGAGTAAAACTATGTTTAGAATCATTCGGAAAGTATTGGAAGTCTTATGGGATTCCAATCAATAGTCAAATATCGAAATTAACGAAAATATAAAGTTGGAAATAAGTAAAAATAATGTTATTGAAAGTTGTAAAGAATCTCGTTAGAAACATTTAGGCGAAAAGCTCACCGAAATCCGAGTTATAACGAAGAATTTATGACTATTTGAAGTTTCGCGACAGAACCGGCACGACGCCGTATGACGTAAAAAGTAAGTTTTCGATAAACTACTTTTTAGCCTTTATGATCTAAATAAAAGGCGTAGTATTCGTTAAACCGAAAGTTTTCATAAAAAGAACATCCAAATCTGACTTCGTATGAGGAAGTTATGATTTTTCTAAGTTTCGGAATAACAATAGACAGCTAAAAACTCGAAATAAAGATCGAATGATTTTTAGCCGATGCAACCTAAACGATAATCGAAGGTCTCGTCAATAGTAGTACAACGGTAAAAAGACAGACGAAAACGGACATCGGATGAATTTTTAACAGAATATTCATGTCCCGGCCCGTTAAAAATATAATATTAAAAATAAATTCAAAATTAGCCGACGGAGTCTAAACGAAAGTTGTAGAGCATAATTTCACCTACGCGTGGATATAAAGAACGTCAAAAACGGAGCGCGTATGCGAAATATATGGATTTTTGAAGTTCGGAGCACAAACTTCGAGACCTGACTGCGTTCACGACGTGAACAAGCATGGTTCACGACGTGAACTACTTGAACGACACCTCTCAAGCCTAGAAGACCCACGGCAAGCCTAGGGGATGACCGAGATCAAACTCACGACGTGAACAAGCATGGTTCACGTCGTGAACCTCAAATTTTGACCTATAAATAAAGGGCCAGCCCTCTTACTTCCGTTTACTCAAAAACGCAACCCTCTCTCTCGTATTTCTGATTTTGAGATATTTTCCCGAGCCAACGATCGCTAGCTGCTGACAGTGTTTAGTCAGATTCTACCGGCAAAAACGTTCTTTAGGGGTAATTTCATCGCAACATCCGATTATTTCACGGTGAGTTCAATACATAGGAACAGTTGTATGTTATGTGTTATATGTGCTATGTGCTTTTCCGTGTTATCATCTTGTGTTATTATTTCTGCTATTTTGATAGCACAGCTGTACCTTTGGCTATGTGATCAGTGAAAGGACTTAGATTCACAGTGGTATTGGTATGTAGCCTCCGGCCGTGTAGAGCATGTCTCGCAAGAGAATGACTTCTACCCCTATGGCATTGACAGAAGGTTAGATAGGGCTAAAAGCCTGAAATCTACCAAAATGTTTAATCAGAAATTGTATGTCATATGTGTCATTTGGGCCGAAGCGTTATTGATGTATATCAAGTATTGAAATTTTTATGTCTCATTGATTGTTATGGAAAGTCTGTCGCATGATTCACATATGCATTTGTTGTTCCTTGTTTCCCTTTGTTTCTGCCATATTGAAGTATATATATGACATAACGTTATATTTTATCTATTATTGAACTCAGTAAGCGTCACCGCTTACCCCTCTCAGTGTTTAACAATTGGAGGTAATGAGAATCCAGTATAGTCATATACTGTTGGAAGATTTAGAATAGTTTATACTATTACTTTTGTATTTGAGTTTAAGTATGTATAAAATTATAATATCCTGGATAGTTTTGTAAAATATTAAAACTTAGTCGGTTTGTATCCAGTTTTTTGTAATAAGACCATCAATGTAAAATATAATATGTTTATGAATATGCATGTAGCATGTTTTGGAGTAACAATGTGTCGAGTATGAAAGAGGTTCTTTCATCTTTATTTATAAATTTTTTCAAAAATGTCATATTTGTATCGTCGATCCTTTTTTTAAAGTATTGTAACTTTTTTTTTTCAAACTGTTTATCATTAATAAAATTTGAATAAATATAAATTAAAAAAAACTAAAAAAATAAAGATATATGTATTTTTTTTGGCTAGAAGATGTCTGAAGATGTTAGAAAACTCTAGTTCACATCTGCGTCAAGAAGAGGACGCACAAACATTTTTAGGTCTGCAGTTTTCAAAAAAACAAACAGTTTGCGAAGACTAATGTCTGTGCGGCACACACAAAAAGGCCAAAAAGATCTGCAGACAAAAACAAACATCTTAGTCATCTAACTTTTAAATTGGTGCTCACTTTTATAAATTTATTTTAAAAGTTTGGTAACTATATAAACACAATTTAAAAGTTGGAAGATTAAATGAACACCAAATCAAAAGTTAAATGAACAAAAATAGATCGAACCTTTAACCTTTTATCATTTAGTGGTTTGATATTGATAATAATTAGATTGTACTTGTAGTGTTTAAAGCAAAGTGTTGTAGAAAACCTTATTACTTTTTCAAATATTTGTACCACACTTTTTCTCAAAAGTGTAGAAAACCTAATTACTTTTTTTCCCTATCTAACCTGATAATCCTTTATAATTATCAACGTCTTCGATTTTTTTTCACAGTTTGCTTTATCGACGAAAAGAAAAGGCTTGCATCACAATCGCAAATATACTTTCCATTTTCCAATCTCTTCTTTAATTTTAGTATAATGTTTGGTTAATGGTATATGATACGCAATTAAAAACAAAAAATGCAAAGCCATGTCCCAAAAGTTCCTATGATGTGGAAAATTTTTAAATAATATATATATATATATATATATATATATATATATATATATATATATATATTTATTAAAAAATTTCCATATTAGGGGTGAGATGGGTTGAGAACTCATAGCTTCTCGAGAACACGAAAACTAAAAGTGGAACGTTAGATCAAAATTAATTCATTAAGGGCATGATCATCATCTTACCAATCTCATTTAATGTTTAATTTTTTGTGTTATTGAAAATATTAATAGAAATGTCTAAAAATTTGCATAATAAATCAAATTGTCAGATTTTTTAAAAAAATAGTATTTTTCGATTTTTTTTTAAAAGTGCAGATTTTCTAATTTTTTTTATAGAAAACATGAATTTTTGAAAAAAAAAATGAATTTTTTTTAAAAGCATTTAAAAATCAATAAAATTAAAAAAAACTAGAATATTTAAAAAATACTATAAATTTTTAACCAAAAGAATTAACATTTTAGGTACATATATGCATATTTTTACAAATGCATATATGCATATTTCGTATACTATAATATTTGTAAGGAAATCATAAGAAAACTCATTTTATTTACTAATCTATAGATACAATAGAATAAATATTTTATTCGATACAAAATAAAATATAAAAACAAAAAAATGCTACAAATTTTCAAAGCGTTTTCATGTCTTCGTGTTAATATTTCCATATTTTCTTCAATTTATCATTTTTCACCTCTTTAATATTCACCACAATTTCTTCCAAATCTTCAAAAAAAAAAATATTATTGATGCAAAAACACTCACAAAAATACATATGTGATTTACATGTGATTGACATATGAATCACATTTACATATGACCTCATATGTGAATTACATTTAATTTTCATATGAATCACATATGATTCATATGTGAATCACATGTAATTTACATGTGAATCACATGTGATTTACATGTAAATCAAATATGATTAATATGTGAATCACATGTGATTTACATGTGAATCACATGTGATTTACATGTGAATCACATGTGATTTACATGTGAATCACATGGAATTTATATGTGAATCACATGTATAAATCCCTCCTAGGCATTTGATCAAGCAGCTAGTGTGCAAATATTTGTTCTTGGAAATGAACAGAAATTAGAAGACAAAAAATGATTTATAGTTTATACCTATTGAAAGCAAGTTATAGTTTATATATATATATATATATATATATATATATATATATATATATATATATATATATGTCGAAAACTAATGTTTTTTTCCACGAGGTCAAATAGACTAATTGGTAAATAGAGAGGCAAGTTCATTCTTTTTTTATTCTACCAAACCAAAGATAAAAAATACAATGTTGAAAGTACCTGAGAAGCATTAAGATTTTCTCCTACACTAGCCATGGCAACTGTACCCATCTTGGAATGCTTTATATCCAAATGAATCTCATTACAAAAAAAAAACGAGCTTAATCCCCATACAAAAATCTAAATAAAAAGCTGTCAATAAATATGAAAAAAATAAAAATAAAATTGAAATGCCTGGAAAAGAGATTCCAAAAGTAAATGTCCAGTGAGTTTGTATCACGTTGGTTTAACATCGTTGATTTCAAAAATATTGCAGCAACAACCCAAATTATAAAATGATTACATACCAGAGGTGCTTCACTTCTATAATGTTTTTGGAAGGAATGGAATTTGTCAAAATGAATTGTAATTCAAT